CACAATGATTATTAAAGTAACCAAAATACTTCAGTGATTTATTCCTCATGGCATATTAGTTGTTGAAGATTGCTTAGAAGTATCATATTGTGATGAGAGATCTGTCATTTGCCTCTATGGTACTGCGAATTATATATTGATCACTAACATATATCATCAAGAGAATTCCAATCATATTCAGATTATTAAAATAAATAGAATTAGTTATTTTCATTGTTTACATTGAATTAACTCACGTTCTGAATACTCACTCTTGATAAGATATAACTGAGATGATTCTTATCCAATATAGTGAACTTTATGACTTAGATATTTATTAAATATCTTTGTCCATAGTATTGTGTTAAGATTGTTCTTTAGACTATTAAGTATTAAGAAAAGGAAAAAGCAACATCTTTTGTTGAAGCTACAAATAATCATACGTGTTTCCGTTCAAAATTATAAACATTAATTAGGTACACGTGCTTAATATTTCATAGTTCATCATTAGCTTAGTTATTATTTACAATTACAATGGTATTTATAATCATGATGATAATAGTAATAATTCTTGTGACTTTGTTTGACTCATATTTTTTTTTAATCTATGTTTTCTTTTGTTTAAATGTTAAATTAGGAGAGGATTTCTTGGTGAAGGTGATCGTGTTTATTTAGCTAGACGTGCATTCAATCTGATTCAACCTACTTTGTTGAATTGGCTAACCCAATTATCATTATCATTAGCTAATAAAATTAGTGAACAAATTTCAAAAGATCATACGTTTGTATTTAGTTCTGATATTACGTGTATAACTTCACAAGGTTTTTTAACTAATGAAATTTTAACACAAATCTATCGACTTCATTGTGTTTCATATTCACGTAATTCTTCATCTTCCTCGTGTTCTTCTTCTACTACTACTAACACTACTTCTGGTGTATTAGATTCCACGTTGAATAGTCTAAATTCAAGTCTTTATTCCCCTATTACTAATAATAATGTAAGTAGTACGACCGCTAATACAACGACTAATTCTGGTACATCTACTCTTCTTGATGTAAATACTACATTGGCAGCTGAAATATCTGGTTATGCATCAGTTCTACAGTTAGCCTATCGATTGTGTCCAACAGTTTGGGTTAGTTTAAAGATGTGATAAAATTTCTTTGTAATTTATTTACACTCTGTAGTCTTTTTTACGAATATTGTAGTTGTGAATCGGTTGATTATTAGAAAGAGAGAGAGAGAAGGAAAGAGTGAGTCTAAATTATGGAATAGTTTAGTGCAACTTTAGGGGATCATTTGATGAAATTGTCCACTAGATTCAGTGATTAACATTATTGGTGTTATTGAGTGAGAGAAAAGAAGAGAACAAACTTTAAAGTTTCATTCTGTTAATAACGTTGTTTCGAACTTCGGTTAAATATCATAAAATATGACTATATTCAAAAAATTATCAACCCTATGGATGTGTAAATGCTTTTTGCTGTAAATTCAAATTCTGTTTGCTTCCAACAAGTATGCCTTCTTAATTAGATCACTAAATTATTGAGTCGTGTTTAATTCTATGTATCTGTGTTAATTGTTGTGTTGATTGTCGGAAGTGGCATCGAATTTGTGACTTCTAAAGAATTTCAGCCTTCACTATAAGGCGTCATAACTCTTCTACTTGTAGATCCTTGAACTTTTAGGGGGGATTTTCAGCGGTCTAGATGATGCTCCAAATCTAGTTACTGAGTTTGGATTACTCTCATACTATGAACTGCTGTCGCTTAAGGAGCATCCTCATTAAATACATTAAGGCTTATTATTCTACCACGAAGATTCTTCTTTTAATGTTAGAGCATCAAGGCGATGTATTTTCTATTACTGTTCCATGTTAGTATCCATAAGTTATAAAACCACAATTCATAATAAACGGGAAATAAAAAATCTATACATAACTAAATCATTTGTAGTACAAAATTAGGGAAAACGGTAACAAGCTTAAATATCTGTAATTTATGAAGGGAAAAAGTGTTATATCAAAAGTTAGTGAATTCACAAGTCGATCTAATCTAGACTACCATTGGAAATCGAAGCACTGGATCTGCATTACTGAGGAGTTCCCTACTAGAACGAAACGGGCGTCTAGTGCTTCCAGGTTTTCGATGGTGGTCTAGCTTTTACTGTATTTTTGATCTTTTGCAAAAATCTATGAGGTGCTGTCTTATTTCTGATTGCTTCACTCAAGATCATCGGTATATTATGGTTTTGACACACTCAAAGTTATCGTTTCTAGTAAGATTTTGATATTGTTGTCGAAATTCGCATAATCTTATGATCACCTTAGCAAGGACAAGTGAGTACTTGGTTAGAATTACACATTTATTGTGGTCGGTTTTAAACTCTACCATCAGATAGAATTTTAAACGACTGACTTTTATAACTTCAATCAATATTCCCACACTCTTCCACTTGGTTCAATATTCCATGTATATTTGCTTTTTTTTTCTACAATCTCATCTTACCCAATCATTTATCTTCAGACACAAAATAGTTTTCGGACTATTGATCAGTTTGATTGGAACGGTGACTACAGCTGGGGATAAACTCCACGTTTTCAAGTCATCTAAGAGTATCGTAGTCAGTAATTACAATTATGTTCCTGTCCATTTAGTCATTAAATTACAGGTATCTTGGAATAACTTCTATTATAGAATTATTTGGAGTTATGACTTTTGCTGTGTTGCAATTTATCTTCCATCATGCCTGGTTGCGCTACACTTGACACGTCCGTAGCATGAAGGAGTGGTGAATATAGATATTTTGTTGTTGTTTGGTTAATACAGACCTCATTATTTTCTAGACTCTTGTGAAGAATATTTTTCACTAGCCCGATAACATGTATTTTTGACCATGAAATTATTCACTTGACTTTTCTCTCGGTTATCCTTTCTTTAATTTCAGGATTCTCGTGGACCGTTAGTTCCACTTGACTGGATTCTACAGAGATGCAGTGAGTTAGCTTCATCAAGATCCCAAATTGGTTTGGCTGATAGTTCCAGTAAATAAATGAATGAAACTTGATCGATATAGAATTCTTGACATCTTTAAATTATATTATGATAATATTTTTATTGAGATTCATGTATTATTGACAGATCTTGTATTAATTTGACTTTCTATGATGTTATCTCTTGTATATAGATGTTTGAAGTTTAAAAAATACACATCCCGTATAATCTTTCTTGTTTATATAAGTTTTCTATGTCTGTAACCTATATAGAACTCAAGTAATTTATTAGTCATCTATATGATATGAAAATCTTACAATAGTCGAAGGTTTTATGATGGAATTTGTGTAGTGGTGAAACAAGTTAGTCAGTTGACGTTAAAGATTTAGTTTACTGGCGTAACGAATCATATTATCGATAAGAAAAATGTCATCATTACCTAGTTAGTTCATACAACTGTTGCACACATTGTTAATTTGATCACTCATATTTGAAGCGTCTGATGAACTATGCAATTTATGTATTTGGTACTGGTATTTAACTTCTTAGTCAGTAGTAATTTGTATTTGGGTAAAATAATGTGACACATTGTAGTAACTCTATTTGTATCTATTTAAAACGGAACAGATCACTTACTGTGGATTGATTTATCTGATCACAATCAGTGTTGATGTTATTTTAAAGTAATGTAACAAATAATAACCGAGTAGTGAAACGTGAGTAAACGTGGAATGATGAATTTTACTATAGAAATTACTGGTAAACGATGATTGATAATACCTGTAAGGGACTTTATACATTGTAATGAATCCAATGATTTATGTAAGCTTTCTCGATTTCGTATTTGGGTGGTTTAAGTATTTAACTTACTGAACTGATTTACTATGTTTAGTAAGTAAGTAGATGGGAATACGGATTGGTTATAAGCTGTTCGAAATCTTCAGAAATTATGTCACTTTAAGCTTATTATAGTCTTGATCAATTTATAGGATAGGTAATTTAATGCCGATACTATATTGATTATAGAGTTGTGTAGATCGTTGATATTCCGTTGAAATCACGAAGCATTTTAAATTAGACATGCATTGGAAATCTGGAGAGACTGGATGGCCGTTTCGTCTTTGTATGGGATTGCTCGGCACTGCACACCCATGACCCTGAGAGCGTGGATTGAACTCGAGACCTTCGATCCCACTCACAAACAGTCAACCTCTAGAACACTGTACTGGAATCTGGCAGTGTATAAGTCTTGTTCTAGTCACCTCATAGTTTTTCGCGGTTATCTTTCATTGTCTTTGGAGGGTACCATCCTCACACTTGATACGGTTTAGCTGTTTTGATTGTTTCTAAAAGTGTGAATTATGAATACCTGTATCAGTTCAGACGAACATTGGGATTTTGTTGAATTCTTTCCGATGATGTATTACTATTAGCACCTGTTTAATTTACTGGATTATTACAATTAATCCTTTAAAAACGATTGGGAGACTGTACCTTAGATATTTTTTATCTGTTATTCTTCTTGAAGCTTATATAAGTACAGTAATACATTTCAGAGTAATGATAATCCTTAATGGCTCACATGTCAAATATACATCTGAAATAATTAACGTTAGGACGTTTATTAATTTTTAGTAATTAGATATTTGGTTAGTTACCTAACTAAACAGTTGGTGATTAGAATCAGTTTGAATACTAAATAACTTAATATTTGAAAATGAAAGTGATTAGATGAAGTGTTATTTTGTTTGAAAATATTGTCTTGATGTTAGCTTTAAAGCAATGTGATTGAGAATGGTTAGTAAACTGAAAAAAAAGTGTTTATAAAGACAAGTTTCATCCAATAGGTATACACATATTTTGATTGGCCGCGAGTATACAGAGTAGAATCTGATTGAGATGATCATCCAATCAAATATTTTAGTGCTACATAAAATAATTATTGTATTCAATAGATTAAAGAGTAACACGTTTGAAGTAATATATATATTCCTAATATTTGAATATATCAGTTATCATTAAAAATGTGCACAATGCAGCCGATTCTGAATAGTCATTTGAATGAACTAAATGAAGATATCTTCCATCATTTCGGATTCACAACAAAGTCATTTGATTTCAAACAAAAGTTTGGTGATGTCAAGGTAGTTTTCATTGTTAATTAATTCATTTTGTTACATAGTCGACAAGAATTAATTTCCCTTCAATATTGTATACGTAATTATGTTTATTGAATTTGATATAGTTAACTGTTGAGGAATTTGAAAATGAATTGCTAAGTAAAATTAAGTTGATTATAACGCGATGGCGTTTGAAGCGAACGGTACTGAGTTCGAGTCCCAGAGTGAACATCAACTCTGAGATGCAGGTACATCCAGCTGACGAGTCCCAAACAGGACGAAACGCGCGTCCTGGATTCCACTGCTAGCCACTATCCATCTTTGCTTATAAGTTGATTATAGTTTCCATAGAAATATAAAATCATTTCCTGATTTGAGTGAAATATATTAAGCATCTTAATTGTTCACATGCAAACAAGTGATTGTATGTCTTTTCAAAGATTAATATCTATACAATGGTCAATAGTTTCCTAGGTTCATTTTGATAGTATTTATTCAAGTATTATTTTTACATGTGCAGTAAATCCTCCATAAACTTATCTCTTGATATATTCATTCATTGAATGAATGTGACGCATGTAAATTTGTAAGTGATTTATTGTTCCGGTTTTACACATATCTCTTTCATAGACTAAAAAGGTATACTATAGAATGGAAAAGAATTTTGTATATATACTACTTGGATTATTTCATGAACATTAAGAATCTTCAATTGTTATTACTACTATCACTAAAAACGAGTTATTTGTATGTACACTGTCTGGTATTCATACTGCCAAACTACCATCGTGTAAAATAAATAGTTTAATGCCATCAGATTCTTTCATGTAGTTATCTACCTTGTTTCACTGTTTATATTTAAATTCAACTGGTTGGAAATGATTTGGTGTAGAGAATATTTTCTGTTTAGAAATAAAATAAACGGACTAGAGTTAAATAATGTCGAGTCACCTAGACTGGTGGCCACATTGCAACTTGGTCGATAGCATTCGATCTGCACTAAATAAGGACTTGACACGCATGGCATTGATCACTACCCAGTGATCAACCAATTGTGATTACATCACGGCCCGGGTAGCTCTGTGGTAACGTCTCTGACTGTGAAGCTGAGTAACAAGGGATTAAATTCGTCAGGGTGCACCAGTTCCCTCAAGATTACAGGTACACCTTGCTGACGAGTGCCGAGTAACCCGAAACCCGGATCCAGGATTTCCTGTTGACTACCTCCAACCACCATCTAATCTCAATGTTTAATGATTCAATGAGAATATTCTCATTTCTGCATATTGTCATCATGAAGTCAAATTATAATTTGCAATTTACCTTAGATAATCTTTTGTCTTTTCTTTTTTAAATAGTTCGTCTGTGTATGTGGTAGCAGTAATAGAATTCATAATTTTGCAATATCAATGGCTAAATTAGCTGGTATACAGTTACCTGTAGAAAATATTGCCGGTTCTCATGCTAGATTTGTACTTTACAAAGTAGATCATATATTATTTGCAGATGTAAGTTAATAATGAAATTTTGATTATGATAATTTATTTTCAAAAATTGTCCTTAAAAACATTGTTTTGCTGTTGTTGTTGATGTTTATAACCGATATTCGTTGTGATATACTTTTCAATGAATCTAAACTACAAATCAAATAAATTTGGTGAATAAATCATGTTTGGTAGTTAAAAAAACTTTATCATTTAAATAATTGACTGACTTTGTTGAAACAATCATCAAGACCTACGATGAACTGAACGATTGTTTCACCGAAGTATGTGACTCGTAATGAGTACAGGTACACAAGGCTTTCAGTAGTGGAACTCAGGACCTGGAGAATTCTCAGTGAGTGTTTAATCTCTAGACCATTTCGCTAAGTCGTGGTCTTTGGTTATATCAGTTGAAACGAATCAATATAATTACTCAACGAATTAAGGCTGACCAAAATATTGTGTTCATTATTTATCTAATAGTTGAGTTTATGAAGACGAACAGAAAGTAAATATTACCAAATAAAGAATATTTGAACAAACAGTTGTTCTCAATATGTTCATCACCAAGCTCTACAGTTAACAGTCTATAATTATTGTGATATTTTGTAAACATTCACCATTTTTAACACATAACTTTGTCGAATTGATTAACGTATAGGTAATTTTGGCCTTCTTAAATTATCGTAATAATTATGGACATAGGACGTTTCGTCCTATTGTGGGACTCCTCAGCAGTGCGCATCCACGATCTCGCCTCGCCGTTCAGTGCTTCCAGGTTTTCCATGGTGATCTAGCTTCAATAGACTCATGATCTCAACAAGTGAAATTACTAAAATCTCCACAAAACCCCCTTCTGATAATAATCACTTAAATTACTTTGACTAATTTGTCACTTAGAAATAGATTGTTTACTGAAAATTTCATTAGTATGACTTTTGTTGTTGTTGGTAACAGAACAACATGAACATTATGTTTTAATGACTTCATGGTTGTCTTCATTATTTTATTTCTTACATATAGCATGGAATTGGTATACCATCAACATTAATTCTAATGCATGAAATGACAAAATTATTACATTATGCTGGTTGTAAAGATGTATTATTTATACGTCTAGGAACGTGTGGTGGTTTAGGTAAAACAACTATTTTAATCTTATAAAATTTATCATTTCTATAGAATTAATGATATATAGGGATAATTTTCCGTATAAAATTTCGCATGAAACACTCTCTGTCTCTTTTTCGATTCCAGTTGTGTCGGATTTGTAATGTATGTTTATCTGTATCATAATTCGCTTAAATATTTCATTAAGTGATGTATTGAATGACTATTGCTCCCTTTAATTGTTTGGGGAATATTCATTCAATCAACACTTAATGTAAATGGTTTACAATGGCGAATAAGATTAAAATATTTGAAAATATCAATTCTTATACAAAACTGCAATACAAGAACTACTATAGTTCGAAAGAAGTCAATAACACCAAGTGATGGAAGTCTCAAGATGATTCTTGTTTAGATTTGATATATATATATATATATATATATATATATATATATTGTATAGCGTTTTCAGTGTCTGGATGATAAAACAATCAAATTTTATTTCATCAAAATTCATAAGTAGGATTTCATAACCGATTAGAATCTGTCGATAAATCATTGAAAAATTGGAAACAAACTTAATCAATAAAATAATTTTTTATTGATTGCTTTCAAATCACTAACCAATCTCAGTGAAACAATTATTGAATGCCAAAAAGCTTTAAATGTACGTTTTGTCGTAGTATGGGACTTCTCGACAGTGCACATCCCCAACCTCACAGTCGAAAAATTGGATACAGGATCTTCAATCTTACATGCAAATGCTTAAACTCTAGACCACTGACGCATGACCCGATGATTTACAAGTCAAACTTCAGTCGATTCACGTTATCGGACGACCATGTTCCGTCCGTTCAATGTTTCCATCTTTGTGATGGTTGTCCAACTTTTTCAGTCAGTCAGTCAGTTACAACATAGGACCAGGGACGACCGTTGTTGCTACCTTGACGTGGTGGTCGGGCTTGCCTATCGTGATGAAACAGTCGAGCTATACTGGCTAAAACAATCGTTCCTCAAGGTCCTACCATGCCAGACAGTCGGTCGAAGAACGGTAAGACTAAAAGTAACAAACCCAATGTTCGAAGGCGAAGTCGTACTGCTGACTATACAAAGGTGTGACGGCAGTTAGGTGTTCCTTCAAACAACCAGCATGATAGTGATGCCGCTTTCTTACAAGGAGGGGTGGGGTTAGAAAAGGTCGGCCCTAACAATGCACATCTCGCCTTATCCCACGGATATCCGTCTCTGGTGGTAAGGTCTCAACAATTACGGAGCTAACATGAAAGTTAATCACAAAAAAGTCGTGTGTGACCGACCTCAAGCAGTTGTCCCTTGGGCACTGCGGTCATGCTCTCAGGTCACTAAGACCACCTCTAATCCAATTTCATTTTCAGGCACCTCCAGAGGAACCCTTACACGGCGTGGGCAACCAGGAAGTGATAACCGCCCTCATACCTCTAACAGCACTCAAGACCACTATCCAACTTTGATAGGTTCGTGATTCAAATAAAAATCAACACCTTCAAAATCTCATGCTGATACTTTCAAGTTATTTTATTCATTTGCAAAATAACTTAGTCGTTTTGTGAAAATATTATCATAATGGTCTGTTTTATTATTTCATTCAAATTAGGAGTGAAGCCCGGTACACTTGTGATGTCCGATCGTTGCGTAAATACCAAATTAGAGCCATATAACGAATTGGTATGGAATAATTTGAATATCATGAATTGTAAAATCTTTGAATTATTCTGGATTGTTGACGTAATTTGTGTTATTGGTTTCACTGAAAAAAATTATTAAGTAAGCATAGGTGGCTTAGATATGGTAAACAATATGCACCACAAGACATAGTTAATCGATTGACTGTCAGTCAACGACAACACCTCAGTTAATTAACATTTTATTTACTAATTATTCGTTTCTTATAAATTGAAAAGTTACTTTAAGTACAAGTATGTAGCTTAGATAGATAAACATTAATGAAACTTAGTATAATGAATCATGAATTGTTGATTGAAGATGAAGGAAAAATGAGCTTCATTTTAATCTTGGAAGTATTTGAAACTGAAATCTTTCATTTCGATAAACTGATAAAAAGTCTGGAGTTGATCTTTGACAGACTACTTGAATCTTCTGTATATGTACAATCAGTGAATAACTGAATGGTGTTTAAGAGTCTGCTTAGTCACTCGAATAAGTAATTAATAGACTAGTTCGGTATATCTATCTATTGATTATCCAAAATATGTATTGATTTGGTAGGAACTTTGTTTACTGGGGAAGAGGAATATAAGCTTTTAAAGTCCTAGGAAGTTTTAAAACGTTTATGGAGTTGAAGATGAACTCAGCTCAAAAGGTATGGGCTTCATACTATTCTACTTTTCCTAAGTGTTCTCACTTTGTTCGCTTAAAATGATTCAGTTTTACACTCCGTAATATTTTGGGATTTTATCGAATGTCCAGAAATGTCTCCATTATTGAATGTTGTATATGAAGAGTAATGTGTTGCTAACCTTTATCTTCATCGCCTCATTCAGAAAGATATTGCCATATGTCATATCTTGACAGTGATGTTATTTCTGAAATGATATCGTCTTAAATGCTTAATATTCTAACAGTTCTTTTGTCTAGTAGCATTATTTGAATGACTAAATTGAATTTCAGTGTATTCTTGGTAAACCTGTCCGTCGACAAACTAAAGTGGACCTAAACGCTGTAAATGAATTAAAAAAGCTTTCTGAGAATCTTTCATCACAATGTTCAGTTGTTGTTGGGGGTACAATCACTGCAAATGACTTTTATGAAGGTAAGACTAATGATGTACAGCATGTAATTCATTTTTAAATGTTGAATTATTTAAAACAATGGTATGAGTACTACTACTAATGTGTTAGCTACTGAAATCTACAAAAACTCTATTGTAAGAACAATTGTATTGAACATTGTCATATTTTTTCATATCGATTTGCTATACAACTGATGAATGAATTTTGAAAAAGGCGTTGAATGTAGCTAGTGATCTGAAACGCTACTATCGGTAATGAAGCATTTATAAATAACATATTCTAGGACTTAACAGCTGTGACTGTGATACCACTGGAAATATTCTTTACAGTATTAATACTTTATTAGCTGGAAACTTTCATAGACCCTCTTGGCTGGAACATGACTTAAGCTCACTGATTATGACGTTCACGATTGTTTTCTTAAGGTCTCAGTGGCAAACGTCGATCAATGGCGTTTCGCATCGTATTTTATAAATAAATTAGTTTATTTTCAGTCGTGTAGGCTGTGTGCTATTCTCTAGAGTGATTGCACTTCAATTCACTGTACACTGATAACAACATTATCTTCTCAGTACAGTAAATCAAAATGGTAGGTAGGTTAAGCGTTCGCGCGCGAGACTGAAGGCCCTGGGTTTTAATCCTGCGAGCGGGACCGTGGATGCGCACTGCTGAGGAGTGCCACAATAGGACGAAACGGCCGTCCAGTGCTTCCATGTTTTCAATGGTGGTCTAACATCAATCGGTTCATGATCTCAATCAAAAACTTAACAATCTCCACAACCACTATACTGATAAATCAAAATGGATAGATCTTTTGATGTTAGCTAGATGCACAGATTTCAACAAATCATGTCATTAATAATATATGAGATTGTTTTTAGCATGTAAATCATGTTCAGAACATCTATTTAAATATATCCAGTTTTTATTTTGATTATTTGATAGTTATGTATAGGACTTATGTTATTTCCTTATGGTCTAATGATAAAATCTGAATGTAGACGTTTGAGCAATAATTCGTTGAGTATCTGACTTCAGTTTTCTTTATATTTTATCCGATTTTTCGATTTGAGTTTAGAAACAGTTATATTTTTGTTTAATTTTATAGAGCAAGGAAGATTGGATGGAGCGATTTGTTCTTTTAGCCAAGAAGAGAAATTAGCTTATCTTAAGTCGGCTTATGATCATGGCATAAGAAATTTGGAAATGGAGGGTACTGCAATTACATCTCATTGCAATTCAACTGGTCATCGAGGTGATACATTCAAATGCCTGAATAATTTATGTTATTTTCTTCTGATATTGTGGTATTCCGATGAGTTTTTTTTAATTACAAATACTAAAAGAGGGAAAGTTGGGAGCTAGCTGACTTAGGTTGATAAATATTGATAATTGTTTGGCATGGGGACTTTTAAATTATGCCGAGAATCATCTGTGACAGTGCACAGAATGGAAGAAGACGTTCTATAGTTCCTAGCATTATGTCTAATTGATTTATGACTTTGTAACACGATTCGGTCAAGTCTTTTGAGTGGTATAAGAAATTTGGTTTGTACAATGTTCTAACCACTAAGATTTTAAAGGATGTTTTGATATTGTCTACAACTACATGTTTACTACATAATAAGCTTGCAAATAATGTTGAAATATCTAGATGGTAGGAACAGGTAGCCCAGATGTTCAAGTAAGCCGCCAAGTTGTTGTTTTATATATGATGAAATGAAATTTACAATTTTGTCCTTGCAAACTCATATCGTCAACTGAGTCGACTAGATGGAGAATTGATATTGGTGCCTGAATTTCGGTTGCAGTCTATTAATTTAATAAAATACTCCGTTCTCAGACTAGAAGAAAATGAATTTGTTAATTACATTTTATTTTAGGAATATATTGACTCATTTCAGTAAACTAAAGTGGTATATGGAAATTAATGATATTGTAATGTGCTACTTGGGATTAGCTATTAAAGACAGATGAATATTATACTGTATGAAGTATTCATACTCTCTAAACAATGAGTGGGAATATCAATTCCAGCTATAGTGAAAAACTGTGGTTAGTAGAATTGAATCTTGTCAAGATAAAAAGAGAGAGTTAATTATCACAGATAGGGTAGAGTAATTGACATACAACATCACAAATGAATGAATTTCGAAATGGATGCCATTGTAAAACCACTCAGTCTTCTAAACCTATCTTGCTCTCAACAAGAACTATATATTTTAGTTTTTATTGTGAGTCTTTAAATAATTTAAAGAATCTTTTTAACTATTTACAGTTTATCATCAGAGAGGGGTTTTGTGGATATTATAGTAATTTAGTAGTTGAATTCGTAAGTCAATTGAAGCTAGACCACCATGGAAAACCTGGAAGCACTGGACGACCAACTCGTGCTAGTATGGGACTCCTCAGCAGTGTGCACCCATGATCGCGCCTCGCGAGATTCGAACCTAGGACCTATCAGTCTCACGCACTAACACTTAACCTTTAGACCACTGAGCCGGCATCTGGTTATAATCACCATATGCTCACTAGTGACGGTCTTTAAAAGGTATTTCCTGGAGCTCTAGTGAGAAGCCGTGACCAGTGGAGTTCAGCTAGTTCTGTTATGAGTTAGTAACTCACTGATGACAATGGTAGACTATGGCGCAAATTCGCGGATCGGTTGAAGTTACACATTAACACTGCTGGATGCTGGCCAGCTCGGTAGTTTAGGGTTTAAGTGTTCTCATGCGAGACTGACAGATCCTGGATTCGACCTCGAATCTCACCAGGAGCGATCGTGGATGAGCACTGCTGAGGAGTCCCATACAAGTTGATTGTCCAGTGCTTCCAGGTTCTCCATGGTGGTCTAGCTTCAACTGACTCATGAATTCAACTACTAAATTTGCAATTCAAATGAATTTCTAACTGATATCAATCCATGCTAAAAGGAAAATCGACTTTTAATACTGATTTACCTAATTAATGATGGTAATGGAAACCACTGTGTCGAGTTAACTTCACACAGACAAATAGTATGTATATATTTATCAGTGTATAAATTTTGATTTACAAATCATTGTCTTTGTGTTACTAATCATTTTTGTGTGATGGTTCATTTTTTTGCTTTAGCTATTCTAGTTTGTGTAGCAGTTGTAAATCGTCTTGAAAATGATCAAGTTACAATATCTGCGGATGATTTTAAATTATTTGAACAGTTACCTGGTAAATTAGTTGGAGAATATTTGAAAAGAAACAGTGGGCTAATTGCTCGTTAATGCATGAAACATAATTGTTAAATAATGTGATCAATTTTGTTAACTGTGAATGAACAATTGAATGACTTTTAATTGAGGTTTTTTATGTAAACTTTACTATTTGATTAGCTTACTACATTGTAATCGGCTTTTTAATTGTTGTAGTGGTTATTTTTAACATTTTGAAATATTCTAGGTAATTTTAGCCACTTGATTCCTTTTGTTGTTAAAACTACTTTAGATTGTCTTTTTATTGTTAAACTAAGAAATGTAAATGTATGAATCTTCATGAATTCTAAGGCTTTATTTATGTTCTAAAGACGGTGTTATGTTATTGGATCACCAGACCAAAACATGGTACAAGTCCATGAAGTTGCTGACAAGTGGACTGAGTCATGTTGGTAGGTGCACACTACCTGGTTGGGGACCGCGAGATGATAGCAACCGATGGTTAGAGACCCTGAATGACATGGCTAAAAATCGTTTGCAATGGCGCAGGTGCATCTAATCTTTGTGTTCTCCCAAATTCTAACCTCCTGAATCCTCCTTGTCTCTTTTTTCTCTTTCCAAACTTATTTCACTGAATTATACTCTTTAAATAACATCTACAAACCCCAATGTTTCCAACTACTGCTTATATTCTTACCAACTCTACCACTACGGGATTTGAATCGACAACTGCATCTCTGTGCCAATGTGGTGTGGCAACTTGAACTGATGTACGTACGTACGAAGTTCTACGTTGTTACTGACTGACTGCTATTGGATCGCCGAATCGGCTTCGAAAAATCATTCTTCCTATACACCAATTCCAACCTCATACGTAAGTAAGATGACTAAAAGTGACTAGGAAGCTGTGATTATCGAGCTGAGTGGATAAGTGTACAACTCAATTGTGTGTGTACACAACTTGATACAGTGAATAAATTGATTTAATCAGTAGAGTGTTTCGTTTAACATGTCAAACCCACCACTTGGTTTTGCATTGACATGTGCGCACAGGTTCAGGATTTCTGGATACCCACAGCCTATCAAAAACTGATTAAGTGACAGAAACTCAATAAGTTGAATAATAAATTATGTTGGAAATATTAACTGATCACCATGTGTGAGATCACTGTCTTATTGTCAATCAAGGTGATTTATAATAAATGAACTGTTCCAAATACATGACAGGTTATAGGTCTAATTAAATTTGATATTGGTAATGGTACATCCAAGTATCATCCGACTATGAACTAGTCTCCGATATATATATGATTGGTTTATTATTATTCAAAATACCATTGAGAACCTTTTCCAAACTCATGAACACATTTACCTTTGATAACAGATGAGTATACGAATCTAGCATACTTAAACTGCTTAGTTAGTAGAAACGTTTTATCTACAAAATCCGACAAATTCGAATTTGTAATATGGACTTCAAATCTCTATATTGTTTGAGTGTTGGACTTCTTTCTGATCTCAATCTATTTAGAAGAGCTATATGGCTAATTGCGTCACCAGAAAATAAATAAAAGAAACACACAAATGTAATAACTGTCCTTACAGTTCTCTGTGCATGAAATATCGGAATAAATACCGTTGGTTGGCATTGTATTTTTACTTCTCAATCATGTTACAATATATTTGCGAAGAATCAAATAACAACAGAGAGTGAGAACATTGTTTTGGAGTTCAAGGTTAAATGATAAATCAGTAATTACGATAACATGGTATTGATCAAGATTTGGCTTAATTATCCAAAGAACGCATATCCATATTTTCAATCAGGTTTGTGGACGTATTTTGATTGAGTTTAGGTAGTACAGTTTCTTAATCACTGTTGAGCTTTCCACTCAACTAACAGGTCTAGGTGACTTATAGGAATCGTGTATATCGGTATCAGAAATAATAACCGGCCTTTCACAACAAAACTGTTCGAAATTTCAGGTGTGAAAAACAGTTGTGTTATGAAAGGTAAAATCAGTACGGGTTATCGGTATGAAGTATGATATATAGTTGCCAGTTAGACAACCATCAAACGATAAAGAAGTTCATGTAAACTTAATAAGTTACGGGGATAATAATAACCACTAATTTACAGGAACAAGAAATTAGAGGAGCGGTTTAAGACTCCAGTAGAATAAAAAAATATAAAATAGTTTAATTTTCAATAGTTGAATTACTGGAGCCTGTTCAATGCGTAACCATCCTGTTCTACCTATGAGCTCATTACTGAATGATTTTGTATGATAATTATTGTGGAGCAGAATGGTTAATATTGAAGAAGTGTTCCAAACTGAAGGTGTGATTGATTGCAGAACAGCGTGTTGTTGAAAAATACTTTTAGAAAGCATTCGTCTCAATGAGAACTGTTCCACATCCGGAAGTATACATGTGTCTGCACACTTGTTGTTTGAAAAGTGGCAGTTTATTCCTAACATATGTACTAAAATCAGAAACCGGTTGAAACATTTAGTGAGAAGCTTAGCAGAATAAGTTGGTTTTCTACAAGGTTTCGGAAATCTGTTTTTCAGTATTGCTGTAACCGTATCTCTTCTGAATTCCGCGCACGTGAAGACGTCTTCCTTCCGGCTGTAGCAGGTGTTTAAAGTGTTTGTTTAGACTGCAAGTTTATGTTAATAAACTTGGGAAAGAAGCATTTTTGATGTGAATTGACAGATGTTTTCCTAGTTCTTTGTCAGTTGTGTCGTGAAGGTGAATTTACCTGCAGCTTTTGAATAAAGAAAGAATTAATTTTCTGATCTCATTCAATGGAACCCAAATGTGAAAACTAATTCTTGACTGTTCCTGTTATGCTTCCTGAATTTCAAATTATTTTTGTTGATGATGCGATGAATGTCTTTCATTGTTTAGAGATTAAGAAAGACTTCATAACATCGAGAGTTTTCGATGAATTTCTGTGATAATCCCTTAGTGCCGAAATGGTGATTTCTTAAATCACATATTACGAGTAGCAAATAAAAACATGTATACCCAGTATCATACTATAAGATAATTCATTGAAATAATATTCACCTGAGTAACTGACCTCTGAGATATCTTACACTTAATTATACCTTCACCATCATCAGAAATCGTATAAAAGGGTGTGAAATAGGCATGAATTACATGAACTAGTAGAGGATAAACATGAAGATTTGAGAAACGATTAGATATACTTGAAAACAAAGCCCTAAAGAGAAGTGAATGTTAAACCAATGACAAGTTCAAAGACAACAGGCGTTTAGATCTTCACAGAAATGCTAATGATCTATGTGTTTCACTGCACCAGCATCTCATTACCCGACTTCCAGTATTTGCCAACGTTTATAACAAAATGTTAACCACGGACACGTCAACCCGCAAAGGGAATATTATAAAGCTTTAAATTAATACAGAGAGAGTGGTCTTCCAGTTTACTCATCCTTTATCTTTCAGAGAATCATTCTTCTATTTGCAGGTGATATCATTTACAGTAACAAGGATTATTTTAATCTATGCCAAGATTTTATCATCCACTAACTCACTTCATTAGATAAGACTTTTGAGGTGACTGAAGTAGATACTACACTCAAAAACCTAATTTTATATGGTCAAATAGATGTTCATGTAGATGCTTCTCAAACAAAATTTCTGAGTTTGAAAAATTAGTCTTCGACTGTCACAATTTATATAATAGAACATGAATTTTACCTAATTTTTCCTTAAATTAGACAATATTATTTGAGTGCTGAAGGTTGATGAGAACTTTTAGATTGGTGGTCATTCTTTATAGATTCAGTCAGTCAGTCAGCTACAACGTAGGACCAGGAACATATACGCATCGGTCCAAGTTGCCATACCTCGTTAACACAACAAGATGAACAACGGATTCGTAAAAGTAATTAATTCAGAGGTGGTAGTATATAAAAGAAAGATCGCATATAAGGAAATAGTACAGGAAGAAAGAATTGGTTCGTAGAAAGAAAGATATGAAGCAATTTTAATCTCTTGGTTTAAGGGAAAACAGAGTGTATACACCTACGCCATTGTGATCGATTCTGAGCCATGTCACCCAGAGTCTCCAACCATTGATTATGATGGTTATGCGGACACCAACCAAGTAGTTTGCATCTACCAACATGGCTCAGACTAGAAGTTAGTGACTTCAAACACTGATGCCAAGTTCTGATTTTGCCGCTCCTTACTTTTTTCCAACCATCTCCAACACCGGTTAGCGTTGTACTTCGTGGTATTATTTTCAAGACACTCAAATTAGAATAAGATAAATTCGGTGATAAATGTCGAAGTATGATTGTTTAATGTTCTTCGTATTGTATTTGAGGATCTTGCTTTTTCATTTGTATATGTTGAGGCCTACTGCTGTAATAATCAGGGACTTAAACAAATGTCATTCACTTGTAATATTTAACTTTAAGCTCATTATCATTATTCATGTTTGTGAGAGATTACACCTCTACAAACAGCTTCTCATAACACTCATATCAAGTATGTGTTTTTTTCTATCTAACAGAATAAATAATTTTTAAAACACAAAGTTTTTATATTTTCAAAAGGGTTTTCGTAGATATTATAATTGAGATCATGAGTCAATTGAAATTAGACCATCAAGGATAACCTGGAAGCATTGGACGGTCGTTTCGTCCCATATTAGAAAAAAGTTTTTTTAGCCAATATTGAAAGTAAATGGACAGTATAATTCAATAGAATTTCACTTCATAATGAAACATTTCTGATTACTATTTCTATAATCATATGATATGGAATGATTTCACAATGAATGCCCTATTGTTTCTTCTCATTGCATGTTATATGTAAGATTAAGTCTTATTGTTTTATGATATCAGATTGTGTATTTTTTATCTTAGAAATAATAAAGAACATAAGTTTCATTCGTTCAAATCATTGAAACAATGCTAATTAAAGAAATCTCTAGCAATATGATAGACTCTATATACAAACCATCATTTAAATACGGCTACCTATTTATGTATAAATGCGTTTTAAAATGAAACACCACAATTGTCACATATCATCAGGTGAAATATTTTTCAAAGAATAAACCATACAGTTTCAAGAAAATATGTCAGAAGAGACGAATAAAGAAGACGTTCTACAAATGGAAATAGTCGGGAATGACAATATGGATAGTAATAATAATGATAATAATAGTAATAATAATAATAATAGTAATAATAATAATAATAGTAATAATAATGAAAACGAATTTACAGCTAATCCTGAAAGTGATGTTAAGGAA